CAGGGGGGGGGGGTAGAGAGATCTAGACTAAGAGAGAGAAAGAGATATAATGAGATATAAAGAAAGAGATAGATAAAGAAAGGGAGAAAGAGACAAAGAAAGAGAAACACAGAGAGCGAGAGAGAAAAAGAAAGAGACAAAGAAAGAGAAACACAGAGAGCGAGAGATAAAAAGAAAGAGAGAAAAAGAGACAAAGAAAGAGAAACATAGAGAGCGAGAGAAAAAAAGAAAGAGAGAAAAGGAGACAAAGAAAGAGGCAGACAAACAGACGGACAGACAGATAGAGTAGGTGAGTCAGTGTGGAGGTAAAATAATAAGCATATTATAAGTAAGTTCTATCTACTTACAGTAGAGCCCTTCAAGATCCCGATAGCCCTTATTATACCTCCATAGGGCGCCGACTGACAGAGCCACCAGTCACAGATCAGGATCCCTCAACGCCTGGGTCCACCCCGCTCTTCTGAAAGGTTTCCCCACCCAACAATGGTATACTACTGGCTTAACGGTACACTGGACGCCTGGGAATTGTGCGCCAGGGTGTCTGTTGCATTATCCTCGTGGGCATAACAAAAATGCTTAACTAATGTTTTCGCTGTTTTCAGAACAGCTTAAGTGAACAAATAGTTTTAGTTTTTGTAAGAATTTACGGCATTTGCAACACAAACAGGTAATAAGAGAGCCCACGATAAGAGGTGTTACTGAAGAGTAGCACAAAAAGAAAAGAAGGAGAAGATGTATAGATGGGACTTAGGTGTTTGATAGATGAAGAAGGAGCAATGTACTTAAATCGAGGTTGAGCGCTATATAAATGTCCTGTAACAGTGATTGACCTATTCAATATTAGGAGCAAAGGTGAAAACAAAACTTCTCAATAAAGAGTACACGAAACAAAATACCCCGGCTATATTGAGGTTAAGAAATTAAGTAAGAAGCATTTTTACCTGTCGAATGACTAGAAACCTGATTTTTTTTGTAAATTAAATGTAAATGTTTTACGCCCTCATCAACGCTATTGGGATCATAAGAGGCGGGATTCCGGCCCGGCCTGTCAGGACCAACCTGGGCAGAGAGGGACACATCCCAGCAAAGAGATCGCAAATTTATTTTCTC